AAGTTGAGCCCCATGAGAAGGAAGCCATTTTTCACAACACTGAGCTCCAGCACATATATTTTATTCTCCACATGTCCCTGGGCGAAGGTGTGGGAAAGTTTTTTTTTTTTTGCTTTTTTTTTTTTCCCCCTCCCTCTAGAAAATAAACAGAGAAATTCAGCCACATGCAAGGATCATCCCGGACAGTGGGTGTTTTCTGCAGCCGTCGGAAACCACGCGCTGGCTCGCTGGCAGGCACTGACGCCGGCCGGGGCTGCAGGAGGTTAGAGATGCTGGCACCCAGCACTGGGTTATCCTGTTAGAGGGATTAGGAGCAGACTGGGGCTTAATCCTCTCTGAGGGTGCTGTGGATGGCTTTTCCTTCACACTCAGAGCAGCTCGCGTGTGTAGCAGGATGGGGTGTCGATCCCATGGGGCAGGAAACCTTCCCAGGACTGGTGCTGTGGCCTCAACCACAACTTTGGGCGCTAGGAAGGAGCCCTGCCTGTGAGGGATGGGGCTGGCTACCCCTGCCAGGGGTTTTTCTGGGCTCTTGGTGCTGGGGCGAGGGAAGAAATCCATGTTCCAGGGAGGATTGTGGGAGCGTTTCGGGTGGAGAATCCCTTCGGGGTGTAACGGCTGCCTTTCTTTTGAGATAAACCTAAGCCAGTGAACTTCTTTATAGAACAGATAGCTGAAACAATAGGGGCTGCTACCCCAAAAAAAAAGATCCATGCGGGAGCTAAGCAGGATTTTGCTGGGGTTGGGGGGGTGTCATTGCTATCTGATGGCGGGGGGAGAGGTCCTCTGGGTCAGAGGTGAGTGTCTGAGAGGGAGCAGAGAGGAGGAACACGAAACTGTGGTGATAGCAGAGTCATCACCACAAACTCATTGGCCATGAGAACCACCCTGGCCAGTTTTATGGGGGATAGGGGCTTTATGCTTGAGCAAGGGCCGGGCTGTGCATTGTTCCTCTCTCTCTCTAACAGGAAAACACCTTTGTAGAGGCTTGGAAATGCAGAGAATTGCATCAGGGAAACATGCAGCCCCATCACTGATTTTCCTTTTTATCACCCCAGCTATGGGAAGCAGGACACTGGCTATCTGCACGGCTCGGAAAGGGTTACGGCACAGCAAGGCCTGGCGGATCTCCATGCAGAAGAAACCAAACCCAGTAGTAAATCCTGCTATAACAAGGCCTAAGTAATCCCTGCAGAAGGGAGTGAAATTATGCCTGACCTTCGACCTACCCAGCTCTTTCAAGTAGAGCCATCCTCTGTGAAAACTTGGCGGCTGAAGGAACCCGGGGTGTGGTGTACGCCTGTGGGGGCTGTCTCCATTCCTCGCTGCTTCCCTGTCCTTGACAGGTTACTCCTCTCTCTTCTCTGTCCCCCATAGCCAGAGCTTCCCTCTTCCAGCTGGGACAGCACAGGCTCTTCCCAACCCCTCTTTCCCATTGGGATCCCCCGCTCCATCGCAGGTCTCCATTCCAAGAGCCACTGGTGTCTCCAGGAAGCGCTGTCTCTATGGAGAGCAGAACTCCGCCTGGCCTCCACCACTCATTTTTTTAATATCCTTTCCCATGCGTGTTCCTTGGGACATCGGCATGCGTGCCCCCAGGGACAAGGAGGAAAACATTTTGCTTTCTGTTTTTAGAGAGGCTGATGATTTTTCCACAGCTCCCTCTGGGTCTCGCATCCTTTCCGGGACCGGTCCTGGCAGTTGCCCCTCAAGAGGCAGAACAAACACCCTTGTCCTAGTTGCTTGTGCACTGGCCTGGGAATCTTGCCCTGCTCTCTCCTCCTCCTGACCTTGTTTTCCTCCCAACACCACAGCAGTAATTACCCTGAGGTTGAAGGGTTATTCGAAAGCAAGTACAGCGCCTTGTCCTCTCCCTCCTTTCCAGCTGCTGGTTCTCCCTGCCCTGGAGTTAAATCTCTGCCTGGAGCTTCCTTCACGTTACTATTAATTGAAGGAAACACCACCTGCGAGGGTGGTGGGAATACGTGGCCGGTTCCATGTGTTCCTCACACCCTGGTGCTCCAGCAATGCCACCGACCGCCCAGCAAATTGCCATCACAATTTGGGCATCACAGCAGGGCAGCTGGGCCTGCTGGTGGGTCTGTCCCCCAGGGTGTCGCTCCCAGTCTGGGTGCTCCCACGGGCACTGGTTGACCGCCGTGGCTGGATGCTGGAGCGGGGATGGAAAACGAGGTGGAAAGACTGGTCAAAGTGCACGGCGAGTGGCCGGGCTGCCCGGCTCGCCACCGGCTGAGGTGGCCGTGTTGCCAAAGCCAGAGGTGTAGCAACACTTGGGCAACGTCAGCATGTAAATATGAGCAGCCGGAGTGTCTGGGGTGGGTGGTTTGTTAATGCTGAAACGCAGGGTTTTGTAAGAAGAGATAAAATCAGCTTCATCTTTAGGAGGGCTTCGGAGTGGGTTTCCAGGGCAAATGATTCAGCTTTCCCGTACTGTGCAGTTCTCTGTACCCTCTTCCTAAGTGTTTGCTGCTGAATATGAATTTAGCCTGAAAATGCTTTAGCCCCACAGTTTCTGCCTTCCAGGGCAGAGCTCCCCCCATGGCACCCAGCATGGCTGGGCTTTTCCAGACCTCGAGGGCTGGGCACAGCTCAAAGAGGAGCCTGTCTGTGGCTGAACCAACAGTCCAGCGGTGCAGTGCGTTGGGCACAGAGATGTTTTTCCCCCCAACCCCTTTCCTGTGCACACCCAGACCTGGCTGCAAGCTGTTTTCCTTCATGTTGGTGAGGAGGAGCTTGGGAAAACCCCACGCCGCTGGCAGGCTGGGTGCGAGGGTGGCGTGGGGTGCTCATGGGTGCCCCGTCCCAGCGGAGGGGAAGCCCTCTCCAGCTTTCACCTCACCCAGGGAGAGAAAAGGGGGATTTGTGCTGCAAAACAGCTCTTCCTCCTGCCAAGTGCTGGCAGCCCCCAGCGTAGCTCTGTCCCCCTCTACCTGCCAGCCAGGGCCGGGAGCCATGGGCACTGCCAGGCTCAGGAAGTCTTAAGAGCCAAGGTCTGGTGTGGGGTGAGCCAATGGACCCGGAGCATCATCAGTTCGGGCCGCTAATTAAGCATCTTTGGCTCCCAGGCCCATCTCCCAACCCTGCCTCTCGCCCTCCCACCGTGGGGTGCCTGGGCTACCCCCCCCTGCTGCCTGCACCTCACACCCTGGGGGTGGCTGGGGTATCCCCCGCACCCTGCACCCCCCTGCTGCCTGCACCCCCGCTTCTGCCTGCACCCTGCACCCTGGGGGTGGCTGGGGTATCCCCCGCACCCTGCACCCCCCTGCTGCCTGCACCCCCGCTTCTGCCTGCACCCTGCACCCTGGGGGTGGCTGGGGTATCCCCCGCACCCTGCACCCCCCCTGCTGCCTGCACCCCACATCCTGGGGTGGCTGGGGTACCCTCTCTGTGCCCCCCTGCTGCCCGCACCCTGGGGTGGCTGGGGTACCCCCCCGCACCCTGCATCCCTCGGTGGCTGGGGTACCCCCCGCATGCTGCACCCCCCTGCTGCCCGCCCCCCCCCTGCTGCCTGCACCCCACACCCCTGGGGTGGCTGGGGTACCC